CCAACCCCCAACCCCAACCCCAAACCCAAACCCAAACCCAAACCCAAACCCAAAGCCAAATGCAGTGCATCATCCAAAACGAAACCCTTCCGTGGTAAGCTACATAAATTCTTTCTTAAAACCTGAATCTTTGTCATTTCCTTCATTCATTTTTTCAACCAAGAACAAAAATCCTCTTTGCGATTTAATTATATTTATATCTCAATTTATTTGTGGTTTTTTCTAGTAAAATTGAAAATTTTTATTAATGTCTCAACATTCCATAATTATTTTAATCCTTTAATATCTTACTCAAATCACAAACCCAGCTTCGTACTTTTAACACATTCTTCAATATCAATTCCTACTTCTAAATCCAACTTTTCAAACCTCTCAACCATATTAAACAAAATCTCTAATCTATGAAAATGCTAATTGCTTTTTGATTAAATCCATTTATCAATTCTAAAAATCATAACATTTTAGTTCTAAATTATTTTAATGATTACTTTTGATTGCATCACAATAAACTCATCTAAAACTTGCAACCTAGAAAAGAGGCGATCTTTTTTCTAAACCTTAAAATGAATCCATTTTAAATGACTTCTAATATTACTCCAACATAAAATGTGGACTCAACCCATAACAAATACTTAACCCAAACCCTAAACCCACTCCCAACTAAAATGTGTAACTGTAACCCAAAACCCATTAGAAAAGTCATTAATAAATTAAAAATTGAATAATTTAACATAACTCTTCATGGATTCATGTTAGTCTATTTTTTCTTTTTTATCTTTTAATTGGAAGAGGGTTATTGGAAAAGTTTCATAGAATATCTTTTAGGAAGTGGCTCCGAGCCTAAGAACTAACATCAGTATGATTTCTATCATTTGCAAACCATTCCTGCAATTGGTTGACTAGAGTTCTTTCCAAGAGGTTATATCCAAAAGTGAATAGGGAGTTAGTTAATTGCCATTTGCAGATAGAGATATGAACAATTTGATTAGTCTTTGGAATAGAAATCTTCGCCAGGAATTTGACATGTTTAGGGAAAAAAATTATAGCAAAACTTTGCCAAATGTACAAACATAGGAGAGAGTTTGAGATATCAATTTACATTGACCATTGAGCAACCTAAATCTGTAAGCAAAATTTCTGATGGTATTGTATCTTGGCAATAAAATGACAGCAAAATAATAAAAAGTTTCCATCATCCACTAGGTAATTGCTAGCGTTTTTATGTCTCTAATTAAATCATTCTGGTAGCTTGAAAATTTTTTAGATATGACTCATCAGTGGCTTAACCTGCTCTCATTACTTCTTAAAAGGTTAATATTTAACGAAAAACGAAAACGTTAAATCATTACCAGCGGCTACAGCACATTCAATAGAGCCACAGTATTGAGTAGGATTCCTTAATAATGTTTCGTCGCCAGTAATGCCAACCCTCAGAAATATTTAAGAGTTATTAAATTTTAGTTCCATCCAAAAACAATACCTTTGCTGGAATATAAGTGATTTTTATTGAAAACCAGTAAATAATAAGGAGTTGTCTAAACTTTAGGACAAGTAAAAATAACAAGGAAAGTATGAAATTAAAATTGAATTCTCGAACAATAATTATAGGATTGAGCAAAATAGATAAAGAGTTATTTAAATTAATGGATTACATTTTTATCCAAAATATAATTCATTATTAAATAGCAACAAAGATATCATATATATGCACATTAAAACATAAATTATTACATATCTAAAGATAACTGAAAATTTAATAAACTTGGATTTTACTAGCTTACAATACTTGTAGCCAAAATAAATTGCGATCTGGTATTGCATTAATTTCCACTTACTATTAAATATCATATTTTAACTATTTACTTAACTATTATATTAATATCAATCGATATTGTGTGAATTTTCTGTTAATAAAAGTTAAGTCTGTATTATCTTAATATTTGCTTTAAAATATCAAAAAACATGTTGTATTAATCTATCGCTTTTATTATTTTATTATTAAAGAAAAAAACTCATATAGGAGTTGCT